GTTAAATTGTACAATAAATTCAAACAAATACACAGGAATTATGAAAACAGGGATAAGCTATTCGAAAGAGAACTCAAAAATTTCTTGCTTGAAAATGCTTTCTATACAGTAGAACAGTTCCTTAGTATTTCTTCATGAAATTTCTTTTAATCTGTTTGTGAATGTATAGTAGTGATGAATAATTTGTGATTATATTTTATTGTGCTTATGTATGTACCAATGCATGTATTTATGTAGACTAGGCTGATAAGTGTTATGCATTGTAATTTTTCTAACCTTTTATGCTGCAATAAATATTCTATTCTATTCTAAAGCGATCAAATTAACATTAAGTACTCTAGTGCAGTTCCTGACTGTATGTGAGAACGAATTGCACCCTATGATGGTGTTGAAATATCAGTGTTAATACTCACTAAAACAATCAGGACCTCAGGAGACATACCCAAGGGTGTTAGCTGGTGTGAACTGGTGTTATTTTGTTTTCACTGTGTATATATCGAAATACATGTTTCTTTATCATTCTTCGCCTGAGGAAGTATTTCCAAGAATTTATAATCCTCAGAAGTTCAAGAAAAATTCCAACACCTACCTCCTCTCCCTATTCTCCCTAGGGACGCACGATAATTCTCGAATCATTGCGAAAATATTTCATTTCTTGACTTCAACACCCTGTATCTCGAGAACTAATTACATGAAGACCGTATGTCTCTGTCGGCTATAAATCATTCCAAATGGCGCTTTATATTCTAATCAGGAAAATGATAGGTGATAGTATACTCGCAAAAATAAAAAGGAAGGTGCATCTGAACTTGTATCATTTGGAGGGTGTTGATATCAGAAATATTATTTGCCTGTTCCCACTCTCATACTGTATAAGTTCATGAACCAAAAATTCAATGTGGTCGGTGACAGACAAATTCTTGAAATCTCCAAATGATATACACATCATGAGTAATCTCAAAAGTTTTCTTGAATGGGACTACATTGAAATGGGGATTCATCTCAAGTCCTCATTTTCTTCTTCAAAAATGAGCAAGATACGGAGAAACTTTCAAATCAAATAACATTATTGAACTTATAGAAAAAACAATGGATCCCCATGTTTCGACCATAGATATCAATTTGGCTAGAATACATACGCTGAATCCAGTTATACATCAAAGGAAAAATGTAAATATTACAAACAAACACGTTAGATTGGAGAGAATCAGATGAGGAGTTTATTGATCTGTGAATAAGGAACAATTTTGTTTTTTTCAAAAAACTTCAACACCTTGTATCCCTAAAACAAAGTTTCGAAACGAGCAAGTTGACATATTTTTCATTATTTCCACTAGCATTAGTAGCATTGCTCTTCTATTTGTTGTGTATAGGTCAGTATAACCATAAAATCGAAAGGATAACGAATTTTTCACGCATTTTACGTTTATGTGCCAACTAAGCTGTACCACTTCGTGAATATCTTCTATGAAAAGGATAGAAACTGATCTTTCTGAGGTCGATGCCATCTCCGGCGTTAAAGTGCACTCCACTTTTTGCCCGAGCACTCCCAATCAAATGAAATCGAAGATATATTTCACTCCTGGTCTGTCTGAAGGGGAAATAAAAGTCTCTGAGTTATGGCGATATAACGTTTCCAGTTATTTCGAGAACTTATATCCAATCTGATATTGAAGATCATGTGAGAACAAAGAGAGTTTCATCTGATATACCACGACGCATGTTACCATGGTCATGGAATTTTCAGTACGAAAATGAATTTCATAAACCTTTAGAATACCTTTGTAGTCAAAAAATGTTTCAACTACTTTTTGAATCTTATTCAACACGATAATTCAGTCAATTGACGAATCGTCTTCCTTATTATACGAAGTTACTCTTAGAGCAAGCCAAACATAATAAATTGAAACATTTGCCTCCTTGATACCTATATAATAAAAATTCCTTTCTTCAGACTCAGAGTTCAAATTTCTGGCCATATAATTTTCGTTGGATAGAATAGCCAAGTTGCTTGACCATACAATTCGTGGTCATAGGAATGCATGATTTACGGTAATAGATTTTTTTCTCACATCAAAACAGGCAAGAAAGTGAAGACATAAGTTCATTGTCTTTGTTTATGTGAAATATCTATTCATTTGGCGTGTTTTGTTTTATAAAGAGGACTGTATTTGTTGGTGTAAACACTGTGAACTGATTGTTGAGGAGGTTTTGAAAAACAATGGTGATTTATTGTGTCACCTTTGGATGCAAGAACGAGCAAGACAAAAGGAAATTGTCATTCCATGGATAAGTTGAAAATTGTTCAGATTTTTGGAAAATATAGTTCTTGAAATGATCATCAGTTTGATGTACAATGTTCCCAGTCTCAGAATATGTTCAAAAACTATACATATATTATTTGTCAAAGTTAAATACTTCCATAACTTTTCCATGAACATATATTATTAAGTAATATTATTTGTTGCAGTTTTCCATTCAGACATTCTTGAATTATGGATTAAGGCAGTTTGTAGAGAGAGTTGGACCCCATCTAAAACCAGCAAGCTTTTTGGAGAGCATTTCCTGCCAACTGATTATTTATTTAGACATATCAGGTACTGCTATATAGGTTATTGAAACCAGATGCTGTACCCAGTATATTTCCATTTTCTAAGCATTTGTTACCAAAAAATTCTGATCCTTGAAGGAAAATAGGATAACTCATAGGTACATAATTGATTAATAATGAAAAATAAAAGTATGTTTGCACCTCTTTGACATGAAAAACTAGCTATAGTAATTTTTTTTTTTCAGGATGCATCTGTGGAAGTTCATAACATTGGGACCTAAGGAAGATGTTCCTCATATTATGGACTTTACCTATGACTTCCAGCTCCCAACTTTCGAAGTTCATCAATAAAGAAACCCAAACTGTTCCTTTGGAGAAGGATATTGTATTGAGAATTGTAATTTTTTAATTTCTAATTGGTATATGTGACCTAAAATATGAACCTATGGAAATTATGCTCAAAATGGACCTTATTGATAGTCAATACCATTCAAGAACCTCTCTTCAAATTTTTCCTATCGTTTATCTTTTTCTTCTGATAGTGCTAAGACATTGTGCTTCGCTCACCCTGTACAATTTTGTATTCATTTGACTTTCTAATCCTGTAAGAATAAAACTGAAATTTCATTTTTAAGTCAATAAAAAAATTAATAATAATTTTTTAATGATAATTGATTGCAACATTATCCATTTTCAAATAATGCGAGCGCTTCCCATTAGCGAACATAAGATAGAGAGAGATAGGATCCGTAAACATTGCGGGTTGCCTGAAAAATATTTTTGCCTCACTCGTCGTTCACAGAGGGTCCCTTCCAGTTGTTTATATTCAGTTCTTTGATGAAAACTGACGTTACCATTTTATTCGACGTATCGCCAAATGGCGGCCATGACGGTATGTTTCAAATGAGCTCTGAAATTCAACAATCTTGAACAACGCATAGACTCATTATTTACATAAAAATAGCTTTATCACCAGTGAGAGGATTATTCATCCGAATCTTGACAGGTAGCTGTTATGATGCGCATTTAATTTAAATTCTAATAAAAATTCAGATTCAGCAGGCCGACTTCATCTTCTTTATAAATATTATAGCGATGCCCTATTTTCTTTTTCATATTTCTCGATGTATCGCATTCATTTATAATATGATGATGCTTGAAGCATTTTCGACAAAAATTTATCTCATATTGATGGACACACTCGGCATTTTATACAGTGCCATCGTGAAATACTGAATAATTTCAAGTTGAGCCCAACTTTCCATTTGTGAGGAATCTTTGGAAGCATGTCGATTCAATCTCAATTCCTCGTTTGAGTAATGACGTCCGTGACAATTTTTTTCAATTGTGACATCTGAATTTGAAAATATATCATATGATCATAGAGTTTGTGTATAGTATGTTCGCTAAATTCATTACTCTCAAAAAGGTGTAGATGAATTCGTATCGAAATTTTGAAGGATTAAAAGAACCCGATGATGTCATTTCTCGTACATGGATCATTCTATATGAAAATATATATTAATAAGTTTGAAAGAACGAATTCATCCACTACGTTACGAGAACACTGAGTTTAAAAGACGCACTGTACAATTTCTGTATATTATTACTGAATTTACCTTCAATGGGGAAAATTGAATAATACCATAGAGTCTGAGGAAATTATCGCAGATGTCATTACTGAAACGTGGATCACCCTGTATATTTGATTTTCTCCTATAAATGTGGCGAATGCAGATTTGAAATTGACTCATTGCAGGAGAGTCCTCAGAAAAGAATAATTTGGGTGAAAATAAAATAAATTAATGCAATACTTTATAAATAAAATCTGTATAAATGAAATCATAATTCAAGTTGCTACAAGAAGCGCAGTTTTTCGACACCAAATGGAAAATCCGAATGAAACTTGAAAAGAATAATTATCCGGGTCATTCTCACAAACTTTTCACCTAAAACGCTTCATATAACCGAGATACGAATATGAAGTTCCTCTTTGTTTAATTTGATATTTACAATTTATCATTATCACCATCATGATCTGGGAGAGTGATGAATAATGTATTCACCATTTTTTAGGATAAAAATCTATTGTTTTATTATAATAAGAGGCCATACTTGGAACTTCTGAAATTTTGAACCCCTTATCTGAATGACAATAAAGTTGATGAACTTTACATCAATGATTACTGATTTGAACTAAATATTCGTGGAGTCAGTGTGGTACGAAGTAGATATAAGTATCTCAAACTCAAAAATATAGAAGGATTCAAAAACGCATCAAGAAAGAAACTCCATATTGATGCTAGGTATATAGTATGATGCATGATCTATATCAGCGAGTGAATAACTTGCTATTTGCGCTAATTTTGTTGAATTAAACCCCATGACAACGCCTATGATAATGATAATTATATGAGTAGGTAATAATCACTCTAACCTAATTCACACAGACAGTTGTCTCTTCGAAACGTTTGATTACAAGCATTCAAGATCTGATGAAGTTGAGGTGACAATGTCTTCAGAAATCAATGTGATCAATTTTGGTGCAGGACCAGCAAAATTACCGAAAGAAGCAAGTACACGAATGATCTATAACTACTTACTATTTATTCAAATATACCGTCCCCAAATCTTTATTATTGTTGGAAATATACAGCGTTGCCAGAACGAACATATTATATTATACTAGAAACCTCAACTAACTTGCGCTTAGTAAAACAGTATAGGTATTGGATGACATACATGCTGATTCATGGAAAAGGTTGATCGCCGAATCAGAACACTGAATTGACCAATTTTTTAATAAGTTGAATTGTAAACTACCTTTGCTTAAAATATTTGGAAACTCCTATCACTTCGGCTTATACAAGAAGTGGACTACAAGTACGTTATTTCAAATGGAACTCCCGGTATTCTATTACATAATCAGATTCAACTGTTCAGATTGAGTTCGCTTGCTATTGAAAAGATTCCCAAGCAATCAGAGAAACTCGAATCGAAAGAAAGAGCCAAAAGCCAGGAAATGTTGTACTGATTCACAATATGAATGTCGAAAGAATGAGTTGGGAAAATAGGTTACGAAAAGTTTCGACACATCATATACAGAGTTATAATGAATATATTCTGTTTTGGCAACGGTTTCCCTTTAGAAGAGAACAAATCTTATTTTTCGAGTTCTATAGCAATAACCATCACAAACCAAATATAAAGATTCCATTTGTTTCATTCGTTGAAAATAATGATTCGAAACAGAAAAAACGGGAAAAACCTAAGATATACGATAATACGTTGAAATGTTGAAAAAATCTCTCACAACGCGGGCATAGTAAATAAGCTCATAATATTATCGACACTTTATCATTATCACTTTTTTCACTATCCATCAGTATAGACTAAACGATTTGAAACTGTATAAAATATAGATTGATATTTCATCGTGTATAGATTGAAATGAAATATGATAGAGTGATAATTTTATCGACAAGAGTGGGACATTCAAGTTGACTAGTGTCAGTTAACACTAGTATGTGGTTATTTTCAATTGTTTGTGAATTGAGTGATCTGAATTAATATTTTATTGAAATTCCAGGAATATAAAGTGAATTCAATACGGGATTAGTGGAAATTCAATCTAGAATTAGTGTCAAAGGAGATAAATCTGCGAGAAGTATAGTTCTAGAGTTGATTGCAGTATCAGAGAGAGTTTGTCAGAGTATTTCAAATCTAAACTCATTCTCTACGAATTTAACTTGAAGCGTCTGTTTACTGATGATGTGTAGGGTGGTGAATTGAAAATAACGTTGTAACCCATTTATTATAACAGCGATATTTATTTGTTTCGCCCCGTACAATTTTCTGGAGGTTCAAAATAAACCCTATACAACATAGTTAAACCCTACAACCCTACCCATACAACTTTTGTATTTGAGATGTTCTTCAATCCCAAATGATGGGCCCTGTATAGAAGCTGTTTGAATATACGGAATGACCCTGTACAAAACGAGAAATGGTATTAGAATAGTCAGAAATGTATACTAATGAGCGCAAATTGTTTTGGATCTAGTACAAATATATTGGCTCTGGCAACAGTGAGTAACTGTATATCTGCGCATGCTTGATTCTCACATATTTCACACGCAGTAGCGTATCACAAATAGAAATGGTACCATCCTAACAATCTTTGAAATCGAATTCATTTTAGGTTCTACTAGATGTCCAGAAAGAATTTCTATCATATCAGAATGAAGGTATGGGTATTGTCGAAATAAGTCATAGAAGTGAGGAATATGCTAAAATCAATAGTAGTGCCCAAAGTACATTGAGAGAATTGTTGTAAGTATTCATTATCTGAAATTTCAACGAGTTTAGTCCATCCAAAGTCAGTTGGAAAGCCTCGGACTGCACGGAAACGAACATCAAACGAACCGAGGAGCTGCTCCAATTTATTTTTTTTATTTTTTTTATCGCTTGGAGCGCACGAAAGGGAATCCCTATAATGTTCAAAGAACATCGTGCGTTCCTTGGGAGGATAGGGACAGGAGGTATAGGTATTGGAATTTTTTTTAACTTTTGGAGATTATATGTTGTTGGGAATACTTCAACAGGCAATGAATTCCAGAGCCTATTATATACTATAGGAAGTTAATCACAATACAAAGAAATAAGATTTGATATTATTAACAGAATGGGTTCAGTAACGAATTTAACAAAACATTATTTAAATATAACAGAGTTTCTCTATCATTAACATAAAAATTATCACGAAAACAAAAAATTGTACATAATTTTTGTTGATGTTATTGTGGGTTTTCGTTAATAAATCCACAAGCTTGTGATATCTGCTTATGTCATGATCATTTATGTTCATCATCGACTTTGACATAGAGTAATTCGACCAAAGCGTTGACGATTTCCATATTTTGGACTTTTCTTCAAAGTATGCAAGAAGCACTTTTCCACTGGCCTCCTTTCCACTGACATTTTTCTGATCATACCATTTCAAGAAACGTTCGTATGAAAACTCGTACTGACGCTTTGACTTACTAGGCAATAATTCCAAAACAGCTTTATTGGCAGCTTCTTCAATTTGCGGCGGAAGAAATTCATTTTCTTGGGCACTTTCCATCGAGGAACGAAGAAACGAGAAAAAATAATTCGTGATTTATTGACGTTAGCTGGCAAGAAAGATAAATCGACAAATTCAGTTTTTGTTTACCTTGGTAACTTGTTTCATGAATAGATTAGATTGAATTGGATTCAAAACTGATAATCTCGAGGCTGTTATTTAATCAATAATTAATAAGTAATGTAAAATAGTTATGCGTTAATTTGGACTTTTAATGGTGTTTGTGGAACAAATAGTGTATGATATATGTGCTAAAAGTGTTTTTTCTTTTGTTCGAAGGGATGGAACACTCCGCCTTTGGCGTCGTGTCCCAAACTTCCCTTCTCACAAAATAAAATGTCACTTTTAGCACTTATATCATGAATAATTATTATATAAATATACAGAAAATACTGCTAATTTAATTGCATGTTCATCATGTGCCAATTATTTCGTGAGATTTCTATACTATTAACAAATGTTTTTTCATAAGACTGAAATATTTCATTAGAATTTCCAAAAATTGAATGTTTCATTTAACGAATATTGTTTTGCCTACAGGATCGGTCATCTGACATTTTGTGCGTTGGGTATTCTGTGCTATTACAAACGAAAATCATTTTTTTTTCTGTGACGGGAAAAAAGTTTGGCATTTCATCTCTGTTGGCAGGTAATAAAATGTCACTTTTCATGAATTATTTTTTTCCCGTGGTGAAAAAGTGAGTACTTTTTTCCCGGATATATATCACATAGACATATATACACTGTTCATGGCTTTTGTTATGGTATAGTTCCGAAAAATGAGTCAATAATACCGTCTCCGAGAAAGAACGGCAAGCCCTTTTATGTTCCAATCGCGGTTACGTATATTACTAAACAACCACTAAATTCGCAATTTTTTTAAATCAAATCACAGAATCAGACTGACAGAAGGGACATCAGATATTTGATGACTACAAAAGAATGATAAAGATGCCTACAACGCAGGTGTCCCTACTGTTAAAAACTCAAAATTTCACGTCGATAATTTCCATATTTTAAAATAATGTAATATCTTTTCGATATTGATTCGTCCTTTCTTCTGTCACAGAAAAATGGTAGATTGTTTTATTAGGATCAAAAGTGACACTTTGTTTGACAAGCGAATTTTGCGAGTCGAACAAAGTCACTTTTGATCCGAATGAAACATGCTATTTTTTCTGCTACCGATAAAATTAACTCAAATAAACATGTGAAGTAACCACCAATGCCGTGCCATATATGTATGCAATGCAACAAATATTGACAAATAATCCATGTGGTGAGAATATTCTACCTGCATTAACAGCAGGTTAGGTTTTCTAGGATGTTCGAATTGTAGTTTCAATATAAATACAACCACAGAGTGACATATTTGTGTATGGACCAGGTGCTCTAATGGCAAATACCGCGCCAGTGCCAGCTATAGGAACAAGACAGTGAGCATATCTTGAAGGCTTTCCTGATCAAAACAAAAATACTTAATTGATATGTTTATAATTCCAATACTAAACTATAATAAGTTGTATTTATATCTCCAGCATTTGTATGAAATGCCAAATCTGCTGAAATCGGAAACGAATCAGGTATGCGTCTCAACCCAAATAACCAACCGTCACAATGTTGTTTATTCTTGATGACGTCCAGTAGATCCTAAAGTTGAACTTTAGCTCTTAGGAACTAAAATTCAACTTTAGCTCCTAGGAACTAAATATGATGCCTAGCAAAATATCTATTTTTGTGTCAGTAATAGAAACGTCAATTTAAGAGCTAATTTTGGTATCAAAATGGACGACTTTTGTGTCGGTTGCAGAAAAAATAGTGTATATTATACTATTCACGGGAAGAATATTCGATTTTAGCTCACGGATTTTTGTCTCCCTGCGCTACGCATCGGGAGACAACACAACCTGGAGCTAAAATCTACTACTTTTTTCTCTTGTATAATGAATAACTATTTAACCTATAAAAAGTGCAAAGTTATTCTTCCGCTCTAAAAGAGGGACACCTTGTATGTATATCTCTTAAGCTCTTAATGGCCCAGAACCCTTCTGTGGTATTGCGAAAGCTATACAGAAAACTAGTATCAAATCATGGATGTAAACTAAATCTCAATAATGGTGGAAGAACTCACCAGGAATGAGACAGGCAAAAGAGTTTATTAAAAAACCATCGCCAACATTCACAGAATATCTACTAAGTCAGAAACGAAGTTCAACTAGAATACTAGTGGGACTTCTCACAGGGCATTGTAGGCCGTAGGCTCAACAAACACATGAGTACGATAGGTCTGCCTGAAGAACTGCTGTGCAGATTCTGTCAAGAAAAGGAAGAAACAGCAGTACACATACTTTGCCACTGTGAGGGCTTGTCAAGACTAAGGTTCCTCACGCTGGGTGATGAAAAACCAGGAGCCCAGAGATACACAGGAGATCTGAAAGCTAGCCTATGGAGTCTCATAGAGAAGGCGGGGCTAGCCGAAGAGCTCTAATCCATTTTGAGGGCAGGCACAATAGATCTGAAAAGGTCGCAGTGTGGAGGCAGATAGCCCGAAGGCCCCATTCCAAATCTAATCTAATGTATATCTCACTTCAGCATACCAGTTGTTATCTCTTCTAGAAATGTTCCAGTCAACTACAAAATCCTCTTTATGCATGGAGGGGGTCAAGGGGCATTCTCGGCGATCCCCATGAACCTCATGAGCCGAACCGGAAAAGCCGATTACTTAGTAACCGGCACGTGGTCTTCAGTAGCAGCCAATGAAGCCAAAAAGTACGGGCAAGTGAATATCGTCAATGCTAGGATCCCAGGGGGCATCCCTGATCCAAAAACCTGGAAGTTGAACTCGGATGCTTCGTATGTCTTCTATTGTGATAATGACACTATTGACGGTTAGTATCAGAGAACAAAGGTTGTTCTTGGATGTTGTGTACAGGGTGTCCCGAAATTAGGCTGACAAACTCCACCTGTGGTTTCCTCGACCAAAAATAGGAAGAAAATGCCAATGAATATGAGTCGATGGATATCTCCTATGGGAAATACCTACGGCCCCCTGAATTATATGATAAAATGATGCAATGTGGTTCTTGCACCTCTAAGATCTCATTATTCCAGATTTTTTTGGGATTTTTTCTCCTCGTCTTCAAAAACTAAAAATATAAACAATATTTCAATATTTATTTATTTATTCATTCATTTATTTATACTGTATACAAACAGACTGTGTCTAATAAAATGTATCAGTTAGGGAGGTAGAGAGAATGGAATTAACTAAAGCTAAAACTAAAAACTATAAGTATACATTATACATTTGAGAGACTCTCAAGTCACATCACAATAAGTTTCACCTAGTTTAACATTACATATTGAAATAACAAAAACAATAAAAAGAATTAAAATAGTTATATATCACAGGTGAGAGAGCAGTAAAGTTTTGGAGATATTCCAGATAATTATCAATTCCACATGTTTTCAAAAAGTTGTTGAAGGCTGTCGAGCAGCTGTTGATAGGAGAACTCACAGTACATATTTTGAAAACAGTAATTTTGGATCTTAGCCTTATATCAGGTACATTTATCTGAATATTCATCAATAAGTCAGGTACATTAATCAAATTATGTAAGATATCAAAGATAAAGAAGATCTGAATTTTCTCACGCCGTTTACTCAAGGTCTCTATGTTGAAGTCAATCCTTTGGTGTTCATAATTATGATACTCTCATTGGATATACACCATATTTTTTCAAATGCATAGATCTCAGACGTTTCTTCTGAATCTTCTCAAGTATATTATAATATAATTCTGTTTCAGGATTCCATATAATATACAACAGTACTCCAACTTTGATCTGATATATGAGTTAAAAAGCATAATACAAGTTTTGATACTGAAAATCTGTACTGGATCTCATTATAAAACCTAGTTTTCCATAACACTCCCTGCTAAGGCACTTGACATGTTCATTGAATGAAAAATTCCTTGTAAAAAGTATAGTCAGTAAATATACGTGCTTAGCACAAATCAGATGATTTGCTCCAAGATGTCACTGCGTTTAAAGAATTTGCTAATTAATCTTGAATTCAACATTTTGATTTTCAGATTTCAGTAGTGAATACCATGTTATACCTATATCAACTGAACTGAAAGCAATGCTATTGTCACAGTTCAGAAGAATGCTAGCAGATTCCTTGATTTTTCTCTTCTGGTTGTTATCTCCTTTTCAATGATTTTAATATTATTCCACTTTGCCATATGTTGTCCATCTTCAGTTAGGATAAGTTCAACTAGTTTAGATTGTATTTTCGGTTTTGAACACAGTTTTCACTCGAACACGAATATTTTGAACATTCGTGTTCTCGAAAACAATTTCCGGAAATAATAGAAGCTCTCGTCATATTATAAGTGAGAATTCAACAGCGTACTATTTTTTCTTCGGGTATGGTTTCGTATTGTATTTTTTTGCAGAAACATGACATTGATTCCATCTGCAAATACTAAAATGATTTCAGTTTAATATTCAATCAATATTTCAGGTGTTGAATTTTCATTCATTCCCGAAACCGAAGACATACCCCTGGTAGCAGATATGAGTTCAAACTTGTTAACCAAGAAGCTGGATGTTTCGAAGGTATATGAAATCTAGAGTGTTCTTGGAATTTGAAGTATTAGGAGTAGGTAGTGTTTCATTCTGAGAATTTGTACTGAAATATGTCTCATCAACAGGGAGTATCATGAACGATAGTGGCAGTTGCTGCAAATTAATGAATCACGTTGTACATTTTTTCGTATTCCGAAACTACGTCGATCATACTTCGTTCGCTATTTTCTCAAAGAATATCCATTCTGGAGATGATAATTGGAGACATTTCCAATCAAAATAAGTTTCAATATTTCCATGAAGAGGGTCGAAAAATAGGTCACGCTCAGAGCCAAATATGCATTATAAAATACATGGTGTTGGAAATGACGACTTCTCAAAAAATAAAAACCGATAAGAAATGGATTCAAAAGAGTATTTCTTCAGTGGATACAGTGCATACACTGGGCTAGATTTATTCAGAAACTGATACTTCGGAATAGAAATACATACTATCCTGGATAAATAAATTTCGCCAAACGATCGATATCTCTCGAACACGGATTCGAATAGGTATATTGGAAAAAGTTATAATTTCTTCGTCGCCCGAAACTTAGCTTCTGAGAGTTTGGTTTATTATGGAAATATTCAACTTCATTTATTCAATTATTATGCACGCTCTAAAATTCTTATCACGATATTAATATACCTACATATATATCTTGATAAAATTATTCTTCTGTACAGAATTTTGATTGTTGATATAATTCAAATTGTAACCCAGAAAATGAGAACTTTCACTAGTACTATCGCCCTTCGCAGTTTTTCATATTATATGTATAGCGTGTCCAACTTTAAATGCCCCCCCCCCCTCATATATCTCAGCTATAAGTTGTGCGATTCGTAACCGGTCGTATGAATTACATTCGATATGTTCAGTTTTTCAGAGACGAATATCATTTTGAGTGTAACGCGTTCTTATTGAACAAAAAAGAGGTATAGATTTTTGATAAAATCAAATATCATAATATATCTATGAGAATATTCCTTTTTACATTGAGAATTTGTCTTCAAGAAAACTATAACTTTATATGTATATGTATTGAATGTAAATACTCTGAAGATGGTCTATTCTGCACTAGTTGAGTCAATTATCAACTATGGGTTGGTAGTTTGGGGTAATGCTTGTAAGAGTACCATGTCATCTCTTCATGTAGCACAAAAATATGTTCTGAAAATTATGTTACACAAGTCTAGGCTGTTCCCATCCGAGTTGTTATTTAAAGAAAGCAAATTGCTAAACATTGATCAGCTATATATTAAATCTACTATTAGATTCATGATCATGAAAAAATATTACAGAAGTGTACTACAACACAAACTGAACACAAGAGCAGCAGTTAGACAGAATATCTTCGTTCCGCATGTGGCGCGTTCAGCGACACAAGCGCACATTGCTTATATAGGGCCAAAAGTTTATAACATTTTACCACTGCACCTTAGAAATAAGCCCTACAAACAAGTTAAACACCATGTCAATAGATGGATAGTAGAAAGTGAGGTGACTGTAAATGATTTATAAATCATCTAATCTTGAACATCACATGTCACATGCATCACAGTTATTAGGTTATTATTCATTATTGTCTTCTTATTACTTATTAGTTCCAAATTGCAGGGACCTCAGTATATCTATATATGACTGATTCTTAAGTTTAAGCTACATGGCTGCACACACAGATTTTTTTTAAATCCATTGTGCATCCAACCAATGAATATATGTAATTATGTATTATTATTGTTCAGTATTAATTACTGTCTGATCATTCATGTCATTCCTACTAGAAAATTAATTATACTTTATATATTATTTGTATGAAATGTATCAATGAAGAAGAGAATGTAATGCAATAACTGAAATAAATATTATTGTTCCCCATGCTTCCGAACCTCATCCATATGAGAAAAATCACCTCATGTCGAATTAACAAGATTGGCTCGATTTTTTTCAATTGCTGCCTCAAAAGTATGATCAATTCAAATCAACTGCGAATGATGGAAGGATCGATAACCTGGTAGGTAGAAAATTATCGTTTGAAAAAAAAATTGGTGTGCATATGACGTGATAACTTCTATGGCCAGTCAGTATATTTCCAATATCTTTTGGACAAAAAGGTAAAAGCTCCAGTATTCGTCATTGACCTAGTGTTCGTCACAATCGAACAGTCATGTCTATTTCTACTAGGTTGCTAGAACTGATGGATGTTTATGAAGGAAGGTTGCCTCAGTAAAACGCTGGTGGATGGAAGTGGTAATTCATGAGGTAATCCTATCAAAAATTCCATTTCAAAGTCATGGGAATCTATGTTCTTCAACTGTCTTCAAGTACATTCACCTATCCAGCTGTGATATCGAATTATACATACGCTAGATAGCCGTTCACGATGCGAAGAGACTGTCGGTTCGAATCCGGCTATCGGCTGAGCATTTTTCTTCAAAATGTGTGATTAATCCTAGCAGCACTTCGATGCCCTAGAAGTGGTTCGTATTCCACTATAAGCTGTAGGTCACGCTCTTCCTAAACCCGCACAAGTTTCGACTCCTGGGCGTTCCCAACTTTGAAGTAGCGATATACAAAATATCAATGATCCCAACATGACATTTTCAATGCTATTACGAAATGAATTTTTTTAAATGCCCAAAAAGATTATCATTACGGTCTCGTTTGATAAATATACCACTAATTGACCCTATAATTAATATTCCAATTACTTCATGCAACATCCTTCAATTTGATGAACTCCTATCAATGGTGGGACCAGAAATGAAGAAAATATAAATGACAATAGATTCCTCCTGCAAATTTTGTCGCATGAGTATGAACATCGAAATCTGTTGGGAATTCCATATTTTGCGATTCGCATAAATTTTGCGAAAATCGCACAAGCGTGAATATACCTTTAGCTGAGATATAGAGCGGGGCGTTCGAAGTGAGACATGCTGTATATTGATTATCATCGAACTACATAGGTACATAATTTTTGTGAATTTCAGTTTGGTGTGATTTTCGCAGCCTCTCAGAAAAACCTAGGACCAGCTAGTGTGGCTGTGCTTATAGTCCGTGAGGATTTACTGGGGAATGCAACAGAATATTGTCCTTCGATACTAGATTTCACAATTCTTGATAAAATGGATTCTATTTTGAATACCCCACCTATTTTCTCGTGAGTTGAATTATAATTTAAGCGTTGTGCCTATTGTAGTATTATAATATCCAGAAATATATTTTAGGAATTATTGGAAATATACCTATGGAAATATTGGAAAAACATGGAAATATTGGAAATAGGTTTCATAATTATTTATAACGCTATAAGAAAATGAGAGAAAAAAGAATATTTGCATGCATGAAAATCATAACAAAACATAGAATGCTTACACACATGAACAAAAATGAAGAGTTATTCTCCAAACAATAATAAAAATAAAAATCCATAGATGAAAAGCCAGAGTCATCTCGACAACATTCATTAGAATGATCGGCCAATTTCCTCAAAAGATACAGTTTTCCAAAACTAAGATTTATCATGCACCAAACAACAATTAGTTGCCACTACTATACACTCAACATCATCTGCGAAAATTTAAAGGCAGCCATTCTGAATATCCGCCATCACTGTCAAGGGCAAAACCTGAGTGCTTGTATTCAATTTCGAACCTTTATATAGGGTGTCCCGAAATAAGCATGCCAAACTTCACCAGCGGCTTCCAGTTCAAAAATAGGTTGAAAAGTATATAACTCAACAAATGATTCCTGAGAGAGCTGCGGTCGCCTGAAATAGGGCTCCTGAAGATGACATTTCTTAAATATTTCCGAAACGTCATGTGATAAAATGAAGCAATTCCATACAAGAACTAGACTATCTATTACCTATAAATGTAGTGAAAATAAAATCATCCCTAAATTTTGTTCAGGAATGTATTATACAGGGTAAGACTACTTACAATATTGCTCAAACTTTATTATATGCATGATGTTGTTCGACAATTTGATCTCGAATTATAAAAATGCACACCTCATCACAAAAGAGGTGATGCCCCTGTTCCGTATTTTTTGTATGTTCTGGTTCCCACGAAAAGAGATATCCTGTAATGTTCAGAGAACATCGTGAGAACCAAGGGGAATTAGGTAGGAATTGGTGTTCGCTCAGATGTGAATTATTTTCGATTGAAATCGATTTCAAAATATTGTTACATCTCACATATTATACATAACGTTGCCAATTTTCAAATCACAGTAGCTATGAGAAAAACATCAAGTACTTTCTTTTCATCAAAAAATTTCATAGAGGATCGAAAAATTGGAAATTGATGATAAAAACAATACTTATTTACACAAATTTTTTGTGCAATTTTTTTAATAGCCTTCACGATATATCGCAATGTTATTCCCTAATAGCACACTTATTTCCTATGGATATCCTTAGGACGTCCTGTCGGGACATTGAGGACGTCCATAGGACGTTCGAATTTAGTACCGTGGACGTCCATTGGACGTCTGTGGGACGCACAAATGCCCCACTTGAGGACCAACTACGGACGTCCTTGGTGGATGTCCCTAGAACAACTATCGACTGCCTAAATCCTACAGTATTCCTCATCAAGCACTACAGAGGACATCCTTAGGAAATCTATAGGACAACCTATCAGCAACGCTGAGGGATATCAATTGGATGTCCATTGGATGTCCCAGGGACGTACGAATTATTCTCGAATTTGAATTTTTCTGGTTCCCTCTACGAACAAATCTTGCATAACTGATTAGAACATCCAGTTGAGATGATGGTCCGTAGATGGTCACCAGAAAGTTTCTCAAGGATGTCCAATGGACTTACGTGAAGGACATTGACGAGGAGTACTTATAGCCTACGAGCAATCATCCGTCGGCGAGGTGTAAGTTAACGTCCTCGCAGGGACAACATATTGAAAGTACAGTTCATGTACCAATTGGGACATCCGGCGGATATCTCTAAGGGACATTCGAAGGATGTCCCTGAAGGACATTTCGATTTTTATTCGATCCTAGAAATATAAAGGGCGTCTGTGCAGAGATATTTGAAGGAATGTACCATCAGAGACATTTCATGGTTGTCTAGAAATGGCATTATATGAGATCTGAAGTCATGCCAGAATATGTACTACTCGGGACATCCGATGGATGTCCCTGAAGGAACGTTTAAAATCATATTCCATCAGAGACATGCCAAGGACGTCCTTGCATGGACATTCTACAATATGTACCACGTGGGACTTCTAAGGGGTGCTATTTCCAGGACATTTGAAATGATGTACCAGCTGGGACATTCCGTGGACGTCCTTGGTCGGACATTGCATGAGATGTACGGGATGGGACGTCCCAAGGACACTTATTATGGTTCGGGACATTCGGACGTGAATTGTTCCAAATAGGGACGTCCCTAGGACGTTGTGTGTTATGTTATGCATACAGAATTTGAGATGTTACAATATATTCTGAATCGATTCAACTAGAGAATTATACATCTGATCGATCTCATCAAAATTTAAATCATTGTCGAAAGATGAAAATCTCGTAGACAAAGCCACATTCAATAAGTTGGGAAAAGTAAAAATTATATACGAAGAATTAACACTATACAATATTTGAAGAAATTAATGAGATCTCTGTCTTAACATTTGTCCTGTTGCTTTCTTACATTCTAGGATTTTGATAATCCAAGATTGAATAATAAGCAATAGTTAATGTAGTCCCACCCTGTATTATACACTCTTGCATGGAATATTGAAATAATTCTAGTTTCACTGCATTGGGCATGGAGAGTTTAGTTTATGTACCAAGTTGCAACATCTCATCAAATAACGTTTCGAAAATATTCAAGAAATATCATTTTCAGGAGCCCTCTTCCAGGGGGCCGTAGCTCCCCTAGCATACATTTTCGGACTCATGTTTTTTGAAACCTTCCTCTCTATTTTTGCTCATACAAGCCGTTATTGAAGTTTGACAGGCTGATTTCGGGACACACAGTATATGAAGTATACGTGGTCCAAATTTCATGTTCCTGATATTAAATGCGCAATTATTTCGGATTTCTGCCGCCGAACTACAAATATGACGACCACAATTTTTCATGAACACCCGTTTTCATATCACTCTTATTCTTTTCAGAATATATGTTATGGATAAAGTTTTTCATTGGATCAGAAAAAGCGGTGGTCTGACGGTAATGGAAACTCTTAGTGAACAAAAGAGCAGCCTGGTCTACAATACATTGGAGCTCCATAACACTTTCTACTTTTCTCCCGTCTGCAAAAATGCGCGGAGCAGGATAAATATTCCTTTCCGTATCGGGAAATCTAACGGAGATGAAGAATTGGAGGATCAGTTCCTCAGAGAAGCCGAAGAAAGAAATATGCTCCAACTAAAAGGTCATCATCTCGTCGGTGGCATCAGAGTCAGCCTTTTCAATTCCATCACTGTGCAGGAAGTGAATAGACTCATTGATTTTATGATTGACTTCCAGAAACGCAATACAGCTTAAGCGACATTGGATGATTTTTTAAGAATGATGAATTCAAATCCATCCCTGTAATCATATTGCAATCAATAACAGATTTTACCAGAAATTACCTTTATTCTCTATATTTTTGAGGAAAAAAGTAAAAATTGCAATAGAAGCTAAATTTAGGAATGTTTTACTTATTTTTTGACTTTTCCAAGAAATATGGTAGCAGTACCTTTCTCTCGGTATATTTTTCAACGTCGCGTTCTTTGCACCATTTGATGAACTCAGAAAACTGTTTTTTATATTGTTTTCCAGATTTTCTTGGCAATAATTGGCCTTCAGCTTCTCGAGCTGCCATTTTGATTTGTTCCATCGCGATAAACGTCTTTGAGTCGGTGTGGCGTGTTTGACTCATATCTTTTCATTTTTGTTTTACTTAGTTACTTGTCATAACACACCAAGATTTTCGGTTGCCGATGACAATTATGATCTGGATCACCATAGTTACTGAGGTCGTTGATATTCAGTAACAATCAGCCCCTTCGATGTTGTTTTAGAAATAGAGTAACTACCGTTGCTACTACATTTATAGTAAATTGTTCAACGAGCACGGAATGATAGCAATTTCCTACGAGAATGAAGTTTTCAGCATGAGCCATATAGGCCTGCCTCACAAAAAAAGTGAATTCAAATAAACTGCAAATTTTGGAACGCCCGATATCTCTGGTAGGGGTGCCTGGAATATCTTATTTTTTCCCTTCATAGAGTGTGGACACGCTTGTCACCACTGACATTTCCGAATTGTCATTATTTTCAGATTTGGAACGTCAGTTCTGAAAACTTGATAGGCGTCCAAGAATGATATAGACGAGACATCAATTCGAAATGTTCGTTAAAGCTCCAAATTTCAATATTCATTTCATGGAGATACATTCATCGACCTGATATTGACACAATGAGCATTATGTGACTTTGGAATTATACGCCAATGTTAAGGTTTCGAATAATAATTTGTCTGCCCTCAAAACTTATTAATGTCTCATATTTTTTATTCAGCTGTTTAACACAATGACAACCGTGTCTACACTGTTTCGATAATCATGTCAGATCCATCGCAAAAGATGTTTCAAAAAACTATTCCGTACGAAAAGCTACTTTTTACACCTCAACAGCTTCTGATGGTTAACAAAGCACAGATATCACCTGTTCTAGAACTGTTTCCACATAATCGTCGCTTAAGTTGTGTGTAGTTTTCACTCAAAAAAATTGGGTGATCGAATTAGGTCAATTAAGAAGGGTTAAATGAACTAAATTCTGATGTCTCAAAAATTCTAAGCCATGAATAGGTAATTACCTAGTATTTCATAATATTTTCTAAAAGATCTAACTAACAAAACATGTCAGTTGATAGTCCTAATGGCATAAAAGAGAAGTAGCAACTTTGACATAATGTAATCGTCTCTACTCAGAAATTCAAGAAAAGGAAATTTGCATCTTTACTGCCCTCTATTTATCCAGCTCAATCCCATGATACTGTCACAATTAAAGAGTATTGTAGTATTATGCACTCAGATATTTCCACAATTTCCAAATACATACACTTTCATTAAACGAAACGAACTGTGAAAAGTCTTGGCCAAAAAGTTTTTCAATTTTGAAATTTTAAATTTATTATTTTATCGGACACAGAGCAAAACCAAGTTCCATATCATGTGGCATTGAAATAATATCAATAGTACCAATACGATGAAAAAAGGCACTTTTTCTGCATATCTATAATTTTTAAAAGGACGAAACCTCACTCGTGTGGGTTAGGTCACTTCACAACCGAAGCGAAGATATCGGGTTCACCACCCAAACATACAGAGAAGAGCCATTCTCCTGGTGGGTGATGCCACACTCACTAACACTTCTACATCATCGAAACACCTTTCCCTTTGTTATATATAGATACTTCCACGGAGAATGTTCCGCAGAAAGCTCCGCTATCATTTTTGATTATTCAGATGATGAAGGCTCTTTTCTAACTTTTTTTTACCAGCGTTCAAATAATTATAAGTAATCTGAATGATAAGAAACATATTCAATCCATCAAAGAAAGGATAGTGGAAGATGTAATTAGTTATACATGCCATTCTTATCCCACTCGAATTATATTCACTGATTGAATCCAATCACATGTTCACTGTACTAAAACAAATGAACATAATCACTTCCTAAATGAAATAGATGCCCGTTTGTTTGTACTAGCAATCGTTACTCCAATCGTTGTGCAAACAGAAACAAGAATAATAGATCGAAATTAGAATTTGACTGTTTAATGCCTCCGGTAATTGATTCCTAGAGGTAGCACAAACCGCCTTGTGTGCCCAGGCGGATATCGACAGCCCTAATACATCAGCACGTTCTGAATGAGAACATCGCTTGCCCATTATCCGAGAATTCTATCAATGTAGGCTGTACACAGTTCGGATGTGCCATTTATCATTATTTCCATCATATATCATACATTTTCCTCCATGGTTATCAACCAGTATCATTTATTTCAATCAGAGAAGCGCAAACAGAATCCTAACATTAGGATTATTGAATAGTTTATCGACTGTATTATACTATGATATAATAGGAAATCTCGGGGAGTTCAGTCAATCGGGCAAACTACTTTATTATTGCTATGCCAAGCTTTCGAAAATCTCTATTTTTTTCTGTGACGGGAAAAAAGTTTGACATTTCATCTCTGTTGGCATGTTATAAAATGTCACTTTTCATAAATTACTTTTTTCCCGGATATATATCACTGAGAAAGAACTGCAAACCCTTTCATCTTCCATTCGACTTCGCGGTTACGTATATCACTAAACGACCACTAAATTCGCAATTTTTTTAAATCAAATCACAGAATTAGACTGACAGAAGTGACATCAGATATTTGATTACTTCAAAAGAATGATAAAGATGCCTACAACGCAGGTGTCCCAACTGTTAAAAACTTGAAATTTCACGGCGATAATTTTCAGATTTCAAAATAATGTAATATCTTCTCAATATTGATTCGTCCTTTCTTCTGTCACAGAAAAAAATAGTGTATTATACACGGGGAAAATATTAGATTTCAGCTCACGGTTTTTTGTCTTCCTCTGGACCTAAAATCTACTACATTTTTCCCTTGCATAATAAATAACTATTCTTCTTCAAGGCTGAAATATTTGGCATATATGGAACATTTTGTTACAATTCAATTCAACAAAATCAAGGACTTACTTGCAATGTAAGTAAATGTATAAATTGGAATGATAATGAGAATGAAAAATATAGATGATGTAGACCTGATCCTGAAATTGATAGGACAGTGACAAAAGTCATACAATTTATATACCGGAAGGAATAAAATTATAAAATTAGATTGTTGTTGAAAATCTTATAGGGTAGAGTCATTTTGAATATCATCATGAACAAAAGATAATGAATAAGAATGTCTGGCTGAGATTATTAATATCTGTTTTCTTATTCATAGTATATTTCTCATTATTTATGGCAACCATCTCTAAAAATAGTCTTTTTGTAAAAATGTTTCCTGAATGCAAAATTTTGGTTTCCTCGAATTTCATATGATGATCATTAGTGATGACATGTTCAGCGAGTCCACAATTACTGTTGAGATTTCTGCAATCATTTTTATCGCCAGATATCCTTGATTTGAGATTCTGAGTATTTTGACCAATATCTGGAACAGATCAAGTTTACTTTATTGTATTCCTTGAAATGACTGTGATCTGAAAACAACATTTTTGTACGGTGAAAAATAAGCAGTAGGCGATTTTTTTTATGTGATTCAAGGTCGAATGCATTGAGATCGAAAGTTTTTTTTCCAGAGTAACAATTAACAACTCCATCAATTTGTTGTAATCGTTATGAAATGATCTGAATATATAAGAACAATAGGAAGGGCAAGTGAGAAGTATTTTAAATGCACTTAGTTACAAATAACTTTTTTTCCTCTTACAGATGATATGTCGCAGTAATAGTTTTGTACTGATAACAACGGAGTTATCGTCATTTATACAAAAATTATTTGGAAGCCGCCATCTTGAATTTATTGATTTTAACAAAAAAATTATGATCTCCGACCACAAAAACCCCCACATAATGTTTTGTCACCGAAATTATGAACACCTGCCTTTCAAGTTAATCGGAGTTGGAATTTTTGTTGAAATTTAAAAAAATGGCTGCTCCAAGATGGCGGACAAGATTTGGTCCGATTCCATTCAAAATTGGTAAGTGGGGGTTCTTGAGGTCGGAGATCATAATTTTTTTGTTAAACTTTATAAATTCAAGATGGCGGCTTCCAAATAATTGTTTGTTTCTGTAAAAATGACGATAACTCCGTTGTTATCAACACAACAAAACTATTACTGCGACACACCATCTGTGAGAGAAAAAAAAGTTATTTGTAACTAAGTCATAGTGAGCTATGACCTACATTTGAAAAACTAAAGTTGGTGCTGATATCTCAAATTCTAGAAGAGTTGGTATAAATCTTATATTTTTTTCGAAATCACTTTGAAAAACTGCCATGAGAATGTGAAATTCCTATTAGAATATTATCATAAATAAAGAAGTTACGGAGGAGACATGAAAATGATCAGAATCTGTTTTTTGCGTATAAAACAAATACGAATAGATTTTATCAAAATATTTTTTCACATTATAGTTGGCCTTGACAAACTCCACATTTGGTGTCATTTAACCGACCTCGTATCTCTCACTGTTAAAAAGATACCCATGGTGAGCATGGTGAGTGGGACACACTGTATAATATTTTCACAAATGAGGAGATATTTTATGTCGATCATTCGATCATCCGATCATTCGTCTCGATAAATCATTTGATTAAATCATCTCTCAGCAATATTAGCTTCCTACAATGTATATACATATAGGGTAAGTTAAGTTTTTATTGGTTGTTATCCATTGAAGCCAAAAATAAATATGTGTGTACGTTTTGTTAGAAACCCTTCGGAGTATTCTTTATCATTATCCCTTTTGAAGTTTATTCTCTAATAGATGTAGAATATAACTTAGGCAACTCCCGCTTACAGTTTGTGACATGGTGGAGGCGCCAATGGCTCGTTCCTGAGGTTGGTTCTTCATAACTAACCTCACATTTTCAAATTTCATTATATTTTGTGTTTTCATCATCTTGCGTATTGAATTCAAAAAGGTGTTGTCATATGGGGCATCTGGCCAGGATTTTAGAACGGTCCAGCTTGGCTAAAACTGAACTGCCTCATCGGTATGTTTTTTATTGTATTATGAGAAAAATGAGGAAGTGAGAAAATATGACCTCACTGTTCACAAATTGTTCGCTAAAATTTTAATGAAGATCTAGTTGCCTACGTTGATTTTCGTTAAGTATAGATATAGATATAAACACTTCATCTCCTGCTGTTTCCATGACTGTGTGACTACAATTTAAACGAATCCTAATACATCGCAACAATAAAACGTGCTATAACTTAGAAGACACAACACGTGTTTGATTTATAATTTTGCGTAGGTATACTTGGTTGCCTCAGGAAAACGCAAATGTATACTTCTGAATAATAATTACTTTCAGTTGTTTCGTGAATCTAGTGTAATTTCTCAGTTATGTATACCTATTGTATCTACCGAGTTCGTGACAAAAAACTCATAGTATACTTAGAAGGAACGCAATTGCAAAATGTATTTTTTTCTGTGACGGGAAAAAAGTTCAAAATTCCATTTCTGTTGACAGGTTATCAAATGTCACTCTCCATAAATTACTTTTTTCCCACCTGAATAAAGTCAGCACTTTTTTCCTGGATATATATCACATATATATACAGGGTGTGCGATTCCAACCCGCAACACCCTTCTAATTTGGAACTTGTCGACCGATTTTCGAATACAAAAATTCCATTATATAGCACTTAACGAGCTCTATTCGAAAATGTGGACAAATTTTGAATATTCAGATTTTCAAGGCCTACTATTGTTTGTTGAAAGGGTCAAGATTTCAAAAACGACTAGTAGGCAATTTTTTTCGGAAATAGTGACTGGCCTTTTCGATTCAGGTATAGCTGAAATATTCCTATACGGAATTTGAACGCAAAATCTCGTGTAGGGTGTTAGTTATTCGATGGCACATTTTGATTTTTCGATTCACCCTGTATCAAAATCTAAGGAGTTGGTATAACCAGTGAAGTAGTTATTCAACAGAGGAACACATCGAATACATTGGTACGAAGTTTCATCGCTGTAACTTCTACAGGAAGATCTCTCTAGGTCAACCAATAATTAATAAAATTGTAATCGATTTTTTTTTTTCATTATGATCCATAACTACTTCCTAGGAGATATAGATAATGGTGACTAATCTGGGGAAATATTCTCCATACATGCAAATTTTCATTGTCATCTCAAATTTTCATTCCAAAATCGGTATATTATTATGATCACATCAAACATCAGTGTATCTCCTAGCAGTCTTTAGAGAGTATTTGTCTGTCATTCTATTTGTCTAGTATTCGACAGCTCTTTATCAAACAAGACTATTTTCAGAATGACTGTGTGGTGTAGTGTGTGAAATACGGTTTACTTGGGTTTTTAGAATGGTGAATCTCAACTTCAGCTTTATTGATTTTTGGTTGATCTAGAGATCTTCCTGTAGAAGTTACAGCGCTGAAACTTCATACATACGTATTCGATGTGTTCCTCTATCGAATAACTATTTCACCGGTTATACCAACTGCTCAGATTTTGATACGGTGTAAATCGAGAAATCAAAAATATCAAAATTTGCCATTGAATAACTAACACCCTATATGAGATTTTGCGTTCAAATTTCGTATAGGAGTATTTCAGCTATGCCTGAATGAAATAGGCTAGTCACTATTCCGAAAAAAAATTGGCCTTGAAAATCTGAATATTTCAAATTTTTCCACATTTTCGAATAGAGCTCGTTGAGTAGCATATTATAGAATTTTTGTTTCTGAAAATTAGGAGGGTGTTGCGGGTTGAAATCGCACACACTGTATGTACAACGTTGATAGCTTTTGTTGTGCTATAGTTCTGAAAAATAAGCCAAGACGGTGTGCCTCCGAGAAAAAACTCAAGTACTTTTGTCTTCCGTTAAACGTTGCGGTTACGTGAACTACTAAACAAAATGAATCTCATCGCTCAGAGAATGTCATATGTGAAGCAATGACAGCTCTGTCTAATAGATGAGCATCACTTGACAGGAAATCAGATGACTACAAGACGAATTAATCGAAAATGCAGCTGTTATCTATTATAGTCGTAGAAAAATTATAGTGTACTACTCGCACGGAATACTGATTTTCTACTCGAATGTTTGCAGCATGAGCCATCATTCTCGTAGGAAATCACAATCATTCCGTACCCGTTAAACAATATATTATTTTCTACGGCTATAACACAAGATTGCTCTTCTTCTACTGTGTTCGATACATCAATGAGGTACTTTGTATGTCATCAATTTTATTTCCGTATCTGATATAAAAATGACTCCATTGTGTTATTATAAGAAAAAACACCATCGCTCATGGAATGTCTTATTTCAAGCAATCCCAGCTCTGTCTAATATATGAGCAATACTTGACAGGAAATCTGATGACTACAAGACGAAGAAATCGAAAAAGACGCTGTAGCCGTAGAAAAATTATAGTGTATAACTTGGACGGCCCGGAATGCTAATTTCCTACTCGAAAGATTGCAGGCATTCGCCTATGGCTCATGCTGCAAATTTCATTCTCGTAGGAAATCACTATCATTCCATGCTCGTTAAACAATATACTATATCTACACCTTGTATCTTGAAAACGGATGCTTTTACGAAACTTTTTTACAAAGCGAACCCAACTTATTTTGCAGTGTTCTACCTACCCTAGCAAGGGGGTCAGGTTTAATTTTCTTCTGAATAAACAAAACAATCACTGTCGCTGTGCTATAATGTGTATTTCTCCTCACTTCATAATCACTATGTGCAATATGGCTGCTGAACTTACATCGCATCAGATTGATCTATTCTCCTGAAGTGTGAATTCCATGAGTAAGTTGATATCTCTGTGATATATAATTTTCACTCCGTTATAAATTTTACTTTCCATTCTTTCCCCATTATGTACATATACTATGTACCTATCATTGCTAATTTAGTCTGTCGAGTATAGTGTGAATAAAAAAAAATCACATCCAAAATTATGCAAATGATACCGGGTGACCAGTTATATTCTGACCCATTTCAAATGCTCATATCTCTGAAACCATTCAAGTTATCGTTGTGCGGTTTAGACTAGTCTATTTTGATGTTTTTCAAGTTCATTTTGACGTGTTCATCTTCTTACTTAAACTTTCGGTTCTACCGGAAACAGACTAGCAATAATCCAGGTATAGGGCAACTTTTTTATTTCATTGAATCACCCTGTATATTTTTGCACATTCAGAAAGACTGGTCTTCTCTGTATCCAACAATGTATTACAAGTGTGTTCTCCTAAGAAACTATTAGAGTTATAACTCTTTGAAACAACTACTGCTTGTGGAATGGTTTAATGAGATTATGCAATGTTATCAAAGTTGCCCTATACCTGAATAATGGCTTGATTGTTTCCAGTAGAACCGGAAGTTGAGAGGGTCAACCAGTCAAAAAACTTAGGGATTATCAAAATAGAGAAGTCCAAACCGCACAACGATAATTTGAATAGTTTTGGAGATATGAGCAGTTGGAATGGGTCAGAATATAACTGGTCACCCGGTATCTCGAGCATTCTTCCAACTTCTGAGACATTTTTTATCAGTACAAAGTGTTTTTCAAGTATGTGACCAAACTTCAAGAGTTGAATTTTCAAGTGATTCCTAGTTAGACCTAAATTGGCACATGATTTTGTGGACTCGGTGTCAAAATCTACTCAAAAAATTTCATCGTGTAATTGCCGAAACTAACATTTATGTTCATACTTTTTTCATGTATTTTGAGTCTCCAAAACTTTAATTTGTTAAGGGTTAGAATTCGACATTGATTGAAACTAGAATTGGGTACGTCTGATACTTCTTGGGGTATAACAAGGAACCCATAACACATTCTCCAGCCAGGATGAAACAAATGGAAGTGTTATCACAGGGACGTGCTCACGTTCTGTAACGCGGCCGTAAATCAAATCCTCGCAATTCTGTCCGCTTTCGCATTGCACTCGAACGACTTCTTGACCAACCGAATTGCTCACAGGAAATCACAGTGTTCTCTGAATGGAACTTCATTCCCCTTTCTCCACAGCACGGACCAGATAAAACGAAAGATGTTTCATGCCAGCCCCTATCCTTTATGTACCAGACAGGGTAAAAGCATTTCAATGGGCGAGTAGGGGTGTTTTTGTTTTCAGGTTTTATTCAAAACTCTCACACTGATGCTTCTGACTCTGATGTCTCAAGACACATATGTACAGGGTGATCCATTTGAAAGCGGGCCACCATAATACATTTTTTATTTATGGAGTGATTTTGACCACTTGCTTTTCCCCAAAATGTCAATGCGTCTAAAAATGAAGGGAGTTGGGACAATGATTTTTTCTCGAGTTTGGTTGAAAGAATAGTATTGTTATAAATACAGTTTGCAAGCACATCTGAGGCAGACGTGAATAAACCTTTGAGTAGCAGACGCGTGTGTTGTTTCATAAAAATAACAGGTAACTTGTAACGTTATATTTTCGTATCCTTATTAAATAAATTTGAATTCCCGAAATAAAGTATTCATACCTATTATCATCGCATCTCGTCGTGTTATATCATAAGTTCACCCTAAATCGTGGGTTTCTTTATGTAAAGGCAACAGTGGTCACCCGTGACAGTGGAGATCGTTATTCCAGTAAAATAACCAAACACTCACTCATTATGAATATCCAGTTTTCTTCAGGATTGATAGGTATATCTCACCTTTTATTTTGTCTACTCAATCTCAATGTTTGTTAGGCTGTCCTCGGGCAATTTGATCAGCTATTCGGTATTGTTTTGTTTTTGGTATTGTTTTGATAACGCACTTGTTGCTTTCGCAGTCATACGGTGGCAGGCCAGTAGCTAATCAGCTGATGTCCGTCATATTGTAAGTAATTATTAAGGAGAACTATGGGTGTTCCACTAATTTGCCTGTAGCGACCTTGGAATCAGGAGGTGTTCTTCATCTATATTTATTCACAGACACCGCACTTCAGAGATACACTGGGTAGGAGCAGACTCGGTCGAAGAATTTCGGAAAAGTTCGGGTATTCAAATGTCATTTGGAGTTCACATTCTGTGCCTATATGTTTTTCAAAATAGGAATTTGAATACTCAAGACGAGGAAAGAGATGGACTATTCATCTCGGATGACCTCAAGAGAAATTTGGAATTTTGTGGAAAGGGAGAAGGGTGCTTGACATTGGAGAAAAGAAAAGATGTCGGTTAGCCATTGATAAGTGCCTTTGTACATAAATGAATTTGACATTCATTCAATAATTTGGATATGTTGGCCTTATTTTAATGTGCAATATAGCTGTTGTTACCGTTTTTCACGTGTGTGATAAGAGAAATCAGCTAAATTGATCTTCTGTGGAAGGATTTGTTATTGTTGGGCTACCGGCATGTGGTTCTGAGACCGAACCTCAAACTTTACTGCCCACTATATACCCTCGAACATCGCATGAGGTACAAAGTACTACTCCCTGGTGAGTTAAATCATTATTTTATGGCGTCCTTATTTTTTTTAGGGTTCATTTTCCTACTGGTGTCTATGGTGCATATTACGTCATCACCAATAGTTACATAATATATTAGTGCTGCCGTAACGGTTTGAATTATCGGCCTAGTGATATGCATGACATAGGGAGAACTGCATGATACACTATATTTCCCTGAGACTATTGCTTATACTATTGCTTGGACTGCTTATTACTTGCATTGCTAGCCAACTATATTGCTACTTGCTTACATAACCATTTGGAGTGTATGGTCAGATTGGATGAGCTGGGATGCTGCTGCCGTCATAATTACCACCTACAGATAAGCTGCATGCCTTTCTATTATATTTTTTTTTTGCTAAGGGGTTATAATCAATCTTTATATGTTGATATCGTCATCATGTCCTTTACATGATATATATATATATATTTCTTGTTTTTTTTTTGAGGGGTTTAATCATATTCACTTTAAATTCAGACATTATTAATTACTGAAAACTGTGAACTCTGCGTGTACACACAGGGGGGTATTTTTTTTAATCATTATTTCTGCCCACATACATATATAATTTTTCACGTACAATATTTACTCAGGAAACATTTTTCACCACCACATTGATGACGAAGTAACATAATAAGTGAATAAACAAATACGATAGTAACTTGGGAAAGAGATTATGTGTTCTCATTGATAAACTCCTACCAACATTTTTTTTGTTTGACGATACGGTTCAAAAAGCGGGACCCATCAAGATCAGGGAAGTTTTCCAACTTGAACTTGCCATATTATGTAAGTTGGTGGCGCCCTCAATTAGTGATTCACACGAGACCAACGAGACGAGACTTCATGAAAGTCTCGTCTCGTCTCGCCGATGGAATATAAAGTCTTGTCTCGAGTCTCGTCTCGCAGCTTCAAGTCTCGTCTTGTCTCGCGTCTCGTACGAGAGTCTCGCAAATGTATCGCAATTTTTTCACGCACAATCTTTTTCCAGTCCAGTACGGGATATTCACCTTTACCTACTTTTTAGGTATAATGTATAGAAGTAGGGCGAAAAAATTACAACAAAGTAACACGTATAGTCTAAACAAATATACAAAATAAAAACTTTTATCCAACATTATTTCAATTATTTTAGAAACAGGTATCTAAGAAAATAGTTATTTGTTTTACTAGGCAGAAAAGTAGTAGATTGACTCCCGCGGCTGATAGTTCATAGCCGAGCGTAGCGAGACCAGGAATTCAGCCAAGGCAGTCAATATACATTTGCTGCCGTGTGAAACATAGAATTTTTTCTCCAAATGATATAAAATCAATTTTGTGTAATTTTTTCATTGAAAACTCGATCATGTTGTGTTCATCCAATATCAGTGTCAATTTTGATTACTAATTTCATCAGAATGTCTTGGAACGTTGCATAGCAACAAACATTTTTTGCCTAGGCAGTAAAAGTACACCCTTTCTGCCTGTCAAGCGGCAGGAAAAAGCCACTATCCCTGCCGCTTGGAGAAAATAGTTATTCGTTTTACTAGGCAGAAAAGTAGTAGATTGACTGCCGCGGCTGAAAGTTCAATTCAGGAATTCAGTCAAGGCAGTCAATTTACATTTGCTACCGTGTGGAACATAGAATTTTTTCTCCAAATGATATAAAACCAATTTTGTGTGATTTTTTTATTGAAAACTCCATCATTTTGTGTTCGTTCAATTTCAGTGTCAATTTTGATTACTAATTCGATTAGACTTTCATGGAACGTTGCATAGCAACAAACTTTTTTGTCTAGGCAGTAAAAGTACACCTTTTCTGCCTGTTGAGCGGCAGTAAGAAGCCACTATCCCTGCCGCTTGACAAAAAAAACTTTATCAGCCAGATCAGCCTTCACGATCGCAAATGTTTTTGTTTTTCACCCAGTCGTTATGACATAAAGTTATTCTTTATGCTAGACTATTTAGCACAGAATGACTTATTTATAGATTTTCAGGTAGTCATTCAATTTGCGATCTGTCGTTATTGCAGGATTGCCTTTATATTCCGCCGCCGTAAGAGAGAGAATAGTCCGTTTTTTTGTTTCACGCATTACGTCATTTTACAACAATCATGGATTGTGTTTTTAAAGTATTCATGAATGAAATGATTTGTCTATATGTGCTAAATAGTCTGAATTCTTTCTCAATATGTTGTTTTATGAATGAAATTCTCAAGTCGGCACGCAGAAATATTTACCTGCGAGACTCTCGCACGAGACACGAGAAAGTCTTGCACGAGACTCGAGACGAGACCAATGAAAGTCTCGTCTCATCTTGTCCGAGTCTCGTCTCGAGTCTTGTCTCGAAAACGAGACGAGACCATGCGAGACTCTCGAAAACGAGACTCTCGCGGGAACCACTACCCTCAATAATTACTTTGTTTTTATAGAACTCACCCTATACCCGACTGAGTACTGAGCTACCCCTTTGCTCGTGCTTCAGGGCACCCGTTTTTGTTCTTTCGAGATAAGCACGTGGCAAACTATTACTATTCATCAAATAATTCGATTCATTTCTTCGCAATGTAAGTTATATCTGGAAGGTAATTATACATAATTGACTATTCTAGATCTCGTGATTTTGACATCCACATCCACAATATAATAACAGTTTCACCAAACAAAATTATGATATTCTTTCTGTTTCAATCTCGGATTCCAAGGAAAACGATCCCTCCAATACTGGTTTTATATGACAATATGACAAAATTCAATGTTCGCCCCTCAGCAACCTGTCAAATGACGTAATTCTGGAATTATCAATATGATGGCCACTGGTTAAGCCATAGAATGTAGTGGTGATTTCATGATTCACTTCAACTCAGGAAACAATATGGCCACTGAAAGTGTGATGGAACAGCATATACAAGAGAGTTGATGGGACAATATTTCAAGGGAGACTTGGGACGTTTCATGTCTCCCTCATTTTATGTCATAAGAAATGAGCAGATGATCCCAAATTACATCATCGAACAAGCCGCTAACGAATACAAAAATAATGGGGGCTGCAAAAAGGTTTCGACGTGAAACGGAAGGTACCTACCTCCTCCGATTCACAATTACTGTACTGCACGTACACAGAACATTGTGGAACTTCTTGGTACATATTTTTGAAAAAAATAATAGACTTACGTTGACATTTTATTAAACGTTTCTCGACAACTTTGAAGAATTTTCGATTGTATGTTCCTCACTCGTACCAAAAAGAACAAAATGTTTGAATTTTTTCCATAATTGTTCCTATTTATTACTTATGTCGTTTCCTGGAAGGAACAGAAAGTCATAGGATTTGTGGATGTTTCTTGGTTCTGTCAAAATTCTCCCCAATGATTGTTCCAGCTCTCCCTAGTGCAAGGGAGACTTGAGACAAAAACTTAACACTGAACAATATTTTCTGACACTACTATCAAATCAGTGAAATAATTATAAATCTGCCAGGAATTCCCCAATATATACAAGGTTTTCCAGACCAAAATAGGCGCTCGTAAAAAGTAGGTCACCTCATTCAGTTCTTCTCGCTCTTTTCAAATATCAAAACAGATCTACAAAATGTTGTCATACAGAGTGTTGTTTTTGAAATGACAGGAGATTTCTGATTTTCCTTGAGATGGACCTAGATACCGACCTAATTCTGCTTTCGTTCGCTCCAAGCGATAAAAAAAAAGTAGACACATCGATGGGGGGTGATTTGGAACCATCAGAGTGTCCTCTATCTATAGGAATTGTATGTACATTCAAATCTTGAATTCTATTATCATTATCATCCAACACATCGAACTATGTTGATTCTGTTTGTATTATTAAGTAAACCAGTGCCACATATTCGATGATGCAGGACTCACTAATAGGTTTATATGTATATCCTGTCCGGAAATTTGTGTTAGGCCACAACTAAAAATAAAATGATGATCGATGAATTAAATTGACAGTGGGAGCTGGAACAATACGAATTTCAAATTACTCATAACAAATAACTCATCAGCTTTACGAATGACATTTTGTTTGACAAGCAATTTCTGCAAATGCGAGGCATATATAGCCATTAAGCATACGATGAAATCCCAAGTCAAACAGAATAACTTACTGAAGGTTGATCAGAGAGGTGGTACATTCATTTCTCCAGGCTCTTTGTAATTTTCTCTCCTTGTTCCTATGAAATAAAAATATAAGTATTATTTCTACACCGTGTGACACATACTCATGGTATAGGGTAAGTTGCGTTCGACCAACATTCCGATTCACCTAATTTTCGATTGGCCCAATGTCATTGCGTGTGTTGTGAACATGTTACTATTAAAGAACCTAAGAGGAATATTGATTGCCAGTGACATCTTGTTTCGAGAAATATTTGATAAAAAAAATAGATACTTCGAAAAAATATCAAATTCTTACTCAACTTTGGCTTCGGGAACGAGTCTACTCCCTGATTCAACATAGAATAACGAAAATATTATTCTTGTCAAATTGTCTTCGGATTTCAATGGACAAATGTTGAGGTTTAACCGCGCAGTCAATGTCTATATTGAATGGGTTCACATTTTCACAATCCTGATACTGGATCACTGAAAAACATTCATTTCACCAGATTTTTTGGGATATTCTCTTGAATATTTCTTGGCTTATCTTACATTCTCTACTTGTTCGTTCGACTAATTCAAGGTTTTTAATGTGTGTATTATAAGATCGTGATTAAAGATTATATTGTGTTAAGGCTACACTCGATTCAACAATCCTACCAACGGCAATATTCATTATGTACAAATATTCTGAATCACGTTCTGAAGTAGTCCATACTCGAAGTGGAGGGAATGATCAAAGAGAGAAAAAAGCTTAAAGTCGTCTCCACAATTTAATTGAGGAAGTGTGAAGTCAATTCTGCTTCATTACTTTGTTTGAGACATGTTTGGACTATTCGAATGGTCATCATCAGTCATAGTACTAGTCGTATGAGTTTAATTCAGTTGCCCTTATAAAATCGGTACCGTGTAAACATTTTTATTCAAACTCTCAAGGTCAATAACTTGATGACAAAGTTCGATAAGCAATATTCTTTTATATAAAGTACTGACATCATTTTGGCTCACTCTTTCAGCTGTATATCATTTATGACAGGACCTTTCGGACACCCTGTATACCTGCAATATTTATCATTATCCTTCATAATTTTAGACGGGGTTCGATGCTTCTATAACAAATAAAGTCACTGTCTCTTGAATTCTGGGTAATTTTTTGTTCTCATTTACAATTTCACCTGGAATTTCAATACAGCGGTTTTTTTCTGACAGCCAATTCGCATCAACTTCTTGTTTGTTTAACAACTGAACGACTAGGCAACTTGAAATATCGAAATTTTAGTGATCTGCCGAAAAATCATGGTGAATGGCATTGCTTTTTCAATGGAAATGAAAATCTGAATTAGTGAAAGATGTTGATATTTCAGTATTAGTAATAGGAACTATAGTATTTTATCGAGAAGGAGCAGTTTCTTCAGTATAACATCGAATGATTTGCTAGAATCACGCATCGCTATCGGTTGCCTGTAAGTCAAATTTGGCAACATACTGTGAATGGTATGATTCAATTTAACAAGTACCAGTCGATTATCTTGTCAGTTTGCTCTGAAATTAAGAAATGACCAAGCAACTATTCACTCAATAGTTCCAGGGGGCTGAATGAGTCACTTCAGACCCTTTATTGGTTGTATTGATGATGGCTGAGTATACGGGAAAAAACACGATTAAATAATCCAAGTTAGCTCCGTAGAATATAAATACACGATTCTCTCTGCCATACCTACCTTCTCATTAATGTTTTAATGTGTTTGTGAATCTTTTGATCCGTATACCACTCGCTCCAAACATGATTAAATTATGCAGAATCAGCTTAGAGAAAAAAAGGTTCCTATATAGGTATTTGGAATAAATTCAATGAATATGTAAAAAATCCTCGAGATAAACACGATGCATGCAAATTTTATACAGTGATACAAAAAGCCATCCCCTTACTTTTGTATGCATGGCATTATACATTTAATCTACCGAAAAAAAAGTTATGATAAAGGGTTGAAAAACAAACGGTTCGTTTCCGCTAGAATGAAATTGTTCCATATACAATTCTCTCTATGACAGCAGAATTTAAAAAATAGATATTCTTCCGAAACAAAATGATGGATAAAATCTCATGCAACGATCTTCACTCTCTATTGGTTCTGTGAAGGTGCTCTTAAGCTTCTCTATCCAGAACAAAAAATCGAAAGGGAACTATTCTGATGATGATAATGATGAACAATCTACTCGATTTTGAATAAGTAGCACAAATTGATAGATATAACACAAAATATGCCTTTGCTAACCATGTATTGAATTTCTACCAAAACTTTGATAGTAACCAGAACCCAGGACCCCAATTCTACATATCTGTTAACTAAAATTGTTTTATTCACTGGATCTGAATCAAAATCAGTTATCGATTTATTTTATCATATTAATTTCCTTTGTTCCATGTCCATATCATGATTTTCAAATTATAGATACCAGATTTTGACATTGTGTCATGTCTTTGCCAAACCATTTGAAGTTAAACTTCAGCTCTTATGAACCAAAAAGGATGTACTAGAGACTCGACTAGGGATCAACAAGAATAAACAATATTGTAACGGTTGATTATTTGGGTTGGGACTTGAGACGACTCCTGCTTATGAAAACAGTTCTCCTGCCCATATTCACCTACCCTACGCGTCAGTAGCTTGGGAATACTGTGCTCTGTCACACCTGATGAGAGTCCAAAGATTCGAGAACACCACCCTGAGGATGATAGTCAACGTCCCCTGGTCCGTCCGGAATGATGCCATCTTCAGAGATCTCAACCACACCAAGATACTGGACAAGATGAAAATCCATGCCGTGAAAACATTCGCTGGAAAGGAAAATCACGAAAATCCTCGCGTCAGGGAGGCGACAAACCAAAATCCCCGATTCCGGGAAAGGCACAAACGTTCAAGAACCCAACTCTTGGACAGGTAAGCATACTACACATACACATGCACAACACAAAACCCCCAAAAGAGAATAGCGGTTGATTCTGGCCCGAAACAATCACGAATTCTCACCCATTTAGATCAAATACAGGAATAGTAATTATTTCATGTAATGCAAAATCTATATGATTCCTATTTTCAAAAAACCAATAAGCCCAAAAGTCACGTAAACACCACTAGAAGTCAGATTCTAGACGTCAGTCCCTACGGATTGTCTTGCGTTTCAAATTTTTTCACCCCCTAAACGATCGACTCTTAAAGTCACAAGCCCCTTGTGAATCTTTTGATTATGAGGAAGGCTGTTGCTAGGCACCCACAGTGATTAGTAATGTCCCGTACCGGGGTCTCATAATGATTGGGCGGGTTGGGACGCATACCTGATTTGTTTCCGATCTCGGCAGATTTGGCATTTCATACCCATGCTGGTGACATGAATACACCTAATCATAGTTAAGTATCTTTTTTTTATCAAGAAATGCTTCAAGATTCTTATACTTACTTGATCTGTATTTAATCCGTTTTTCCCGACATGGATAACTTGATTTTGAATAATTTCGGCCAACAATAGTTTTTTGTCTCAAACATCGATATTGTTTACTTCCATTTGATTATCAAACCAAACAAAGTGGAGTAAGGAGAGAAATTAATAATCGTTATTATTATTGTTCATATGATTACTAACCTAACATTTTCCACATCTTGTTCCTATACCTGATGGCACTGGCGCTGTATTTGCCATTAGAGCATTTGACCCATATACAAATAAGAATATAGATGATCGATTCCCACATGATTCGAATTTTTTGCGGGATGGCTCCCTATCAACTTTTCTCTAGATGCCGATAAATAGTTGAAGATCACACGAGAGCACGTTTAATCAACAATTGTTAACGATTCTTGGGGTGAAGATATTGAACTATTTCATCACTTATTTCGGAAAATCTCAGTCACAACTGAATTGATGATATGTAGATGGAATGTTGATGAATAATCGCGTTTTTCAAGGTTGCCATAGCTGCCCTATTGCATATAAGCGGGGAAGGGGAAGAATAACCATCAATAAACAAGAGGGTGTCATCTGTCACGTTGAAAAACTATGATTATCATCAATATTAGTGATCTCAAAATAATCAAAACAATATTTCAAATTCACTAGTTACCTGTAACATTCTTCGAGGTCATATTTGGCCAATCGTATTTGATATGAAGATTCTATCATTGTTCTGTGAATAATCCATTATAAATCACCCTGTATAGCAACAATTTGTAGTGTTTCATAAAATCAAGAAGTATGAGGAGTTGAAATAAAACTACTCTCTTTATCTCCTGAACGGATGGATATTGAAAAACCTATATAAATTATTGATTTTATGAAAATCTGAACACGCAGGAAATTGAGATCCATCAATCAAATATCATTCCATACAAATATGTGGATCGTTTATGTCACTTTCGGAAATAACATGTGTTATCAATACGGATAGTGCTTCGGAATTCAATGAAATCTGCACCCTATATTGAATGTGGAAATCATGGTGATACCTTGTCACTTCAACAGCAGATTTAAATAGTAATTCTAAATAGAAAAACATGTTTTGAATTTTTTCATTTCGCAGACTCTCCCAGTTGATACGACCAAAACTTGATCAAAAGACTGTTGTATTCTATTTTGAATGCATACCTGGTGCCAACGAATCTATCAGCAGATTATAATTCCTAGAATATGAGGCCTATGGAAATAAAATATGCTATAGGTAAATGGTATATGAAGGAAAGCTATAGATAGCAAATTTCAACAGCAATTCGAGATTGAAAAAAGTATTCTGAATTGAGTTATTTCGCAGACTTTCCCAGTTGATGTAACTCAAGCTTGATCAAAAAGGCTATTTAATTCTACTTTGATTGCATACCAGGTGCCAATACGAACCTATTAGACAGATTATGATTCCTAGAATATGAGGTCTATCGTGATGAAATATAAAGGTTAATAGTTAGCAGATTTCAACAGCAATTCCAACAAAAACAACCATAAGTCATTTTGAGCTGAAAATATAGTTCATGGATCCTGTTTTCATCAATATTCCTACATAAATTTTCAGCTTTTATCAAAAGATACACTCACGCCTCCTCAACGTTTTTCTCATTTTTATCGGAATTATATTATATGTACAGGGTTGGCCAAAAGGGAAAGTCCTAATTTTCGCGAACGGTGGCTACTTTCTTGTAAAACTCACGATACCGCAAACAAAATTTCCATAGCCTGCTTCGTTTTTGAGATACTGGGCGAAATTGAAAATGTTGTATTTTGGGAACCCCCGCTGTATCTCAGCTATATTTCAACTCAAAGGAAATAAGTTGTGTATGTAAATACAAGGCCAATTCTCAGAAAATCGTATCACTGTCAAAAATTTTTAGAAAGCTCAAAGCATCAATAATTCAAATATGGAGGAAATATACAGGGTGCTCCATTCAAAAAAACATAACTATGAGTTATAACTAAATAAATACAGCCCATCTTGAAAATCTGACTACGCCACTCTATTCCACGTGAAAAACTATATTATTATGAGTGTCAGGTTTCAGCGGTTTCACTTTTCCTATAAGTTGAAGAATAGCTGAGATTCAGGAAGGTTCCAAAACGCAACATTTTCATTTTCGCCCTTTATCTCATAAACGGAGCAGGCTATGAAAATGTCGTTTGTGGTATCGTGAGTTTTACAAAAGAGTAGCCAACGTTCGCTGAAACCGCAAAACAGATATTCCGTAAGGACATAGAAAATGGGACAGCCTGTACATACATAGGTTATTGCACAAAGTCAATTACAAAAGCTCTAGAAAAGAAAGGGGTTCCATCCCTCCTGTGTCGATGGATAAACGCCAGCTTGGAAAAAAGGGTAATTATATCATCCATTGGCGAAACCACAGTCACAGCTAGAACAGGTAGGGGCTGTCCGCAAGGAGGGGTGTTATCACCTCTCCTATGGGCTATCCTAGTAGACGAATTACTGAAGAGGCTAACATCCAAAGGTATGCATTGCTTAGGGTACGCCGACGATGTTGCGATTATTGCAAAAGGCAAATTCGCAGGAACAGTCTCGGAACACACCCAAACTGCTCTAAACATAATTAACAAGTGGTGTCAAGAGGAGGAACTAACTGTGAACCCTCTTAAAACCACGATAGTGGTTTTTACTAAGAAGAAAGTACTGAGAGGGCTGAAGCCACCAGTTCTTAACGGGGTAGAAATTCCAATTGCACAAGAGGTAAAATACTTGGGAGTCATCTTCGACCACAAGCTGACATGGAATCAACACCTACAGAAAATAATCCAGAAAAGCACGATAGCCCTCAACCTGTGCAGAAGAATGTGCGGGAAAAACTGGGGGTTAAAACCAAAAATGATCATATGGCTATACCGGGTGACACAGGTTATCGGGCCACCCCTGTAACTTCTGCATTCGTCAACGGATTTTTCTGAAATTCGGTACAGTTATATAAGCAACTATTTCGGATTTGATCACATTACTATCCAATATGGCGGACTTCCGGTTTTTCTGGGAATGCCAGCAATTTTGTTTTTTCAAATGGAACACCCTGTATATTTTTACATATTTCAGTTCAACAGGTCAAAACAAGTGCAATATTGATGTCAAATGTCATTTATTGCACAGCCTACCTAGTTGAAAAATTATTCTAACTGCAAAGAAATTCATAAACTAGTTGTTGATTTTTGAATGTATACAATTTGTTACTGCACCGAAAAACAAAAATGATATGTCATTTTGTTCCTTAATGTATGTTCTAGAGAGACGGGTAGGTGGCCCATAGGGGTTCCATTTGAAAAAAAATAATTTTTGATCAAAAAGTGATGTGGCTGAATTGATTCCTGGATAAGTGACACAAAAAATGATTTTTCAGAAAAAATTATGTTCTTCTGTTATGTGTGACTCATTTTGAATAGTCTTGACCACATCTCATTTATCCACTAGGTAAAATGAAAAAACAATTTCAATTTAAATTTTTTCGAAAAAATCACATTTGAAATAGAGATTGCACTTGTTTCGACCTGTTGAACTTGAATATGTAAAAATATACAGGGTGTTCCATTTGAAAAAACAAAGTTGCTGGCATTTCCAGAAATACCGGAAGTCTGCCATATTGGATTGTAATGTGATCAAATCCGAAATAATTGGTTATATAACTGTACCAAATTTCAGAAAAATCCGTTGACGAATGCAGAAGTTACAGGGGTGGCCCGATACCCTGTGTCACCCGGTATACCAGGGTTATTAGACCAATGATAGCATATGGTTCGGTGGTATGGTGGCCAAAGACTCGGCAGGCTGAGGCGACCAAAAGGCTAATTGGCATTCAAAGGCAAGCCTGCCTGGCAGCCACGGGAGCTATGAGGACAACCCCAACAGCCGCCTTAGAAGTCTTGCTGAACCTACCGCCACTTCACGTCTACATACAAGGCGAAGCCAGGTCAGTCACCAATAGATTGACCAGAGGGCAAACGCCCATAAGCAGACTGCACGGTAAGATGTACAACGAACTATACAAAGAGTTGGAAACCGACCCGATAATGGGAATGCCATCGGACGAGATGCTTCCCAAGTATAGCTTCGGTAAACAATTTAAGACTGTTATAACAGACAGAGAGGCATGGAAGGGAGGTCCTCCAATTGATGCAGAAATGGCCTGTTATACAGACGGCTCAAAAACCGATGAAGGTGTAGGAGCAGGAATATATATAGCCAAGCCAAAGACAAGAGTCTCACTGAGCTTAGGTAAACACGTGACGATATTCCAGGCAGAAGTTGCAGCAATACATCAGTGTGCAGGAGAGTTAATAAGGCAAGAGTTTAAGGAAAAGACCATCGCCATTTACTCCGACAGCCAAGCGGCTATAAAAGCAATCAGCTCCATGCAGATCAATTCCAAACTCGTCTGGGACTGCTTGGAAACCCTACAAGAGCTGGGCAGTCAAAACAGACTGTACTTAGCCTGGGTACCAGGCCACACAGGCTACAAGGGCAACGAAGAGGCTGACTCACTAGCCCGAGAAGGAGCAAGATGTGCTCCTATCGGTCCAGAACCTTTCTGTGGTATAGCGAAAGCGCTGCAAAGAACGAATAACAGCACTTGGATGAAGAAGCAGTCTCGAGAATGGTGGAACAAGGCGCCGGGAATGAGACAGGCCAAAGAGTTCATTAAAGAATCATTGCCAAAATTCACGGAGTACCTACTAAGCCAGAATAGGAGAACAACAAGGATCTTGGTTGGGCTCCTGACAGGGCACTGTAGACTCAACAAACACATGAACAACATCGGATTGGCGGACACAACCATATGCAGGTTTTGCCAAGAAGATGAGGAAACCTCAGCACACATACTGTGCTACTGCGAAGGCCTGACTAGGCTAAGGTTTTCGACGATAGGGGAGGAAAAACCACAGCCCTCTCAATATATGGAGGACCTGAAGTCTGGCCTATGGAGTCTAGTAATAAGGATGGGTTTAGACAAGGAACTCTAACATAACATGAGGGCACACACAATAGATCTGTAAAGGTCGCAGTGGAGAGGCTCCTAGTAGCACATGAGCCCCATATCAATCTAATCTAATCTAATCTAGGTTATTGCACCAAGCCCTTCAATTCTATTCAATTCTAGACAATTTTCTGGAAGTCGAGATTTCTTTGCATATATTTAACATTCCGATCAGATATCGTTTCAGCAGAAATGGTTCCATTATTGAATTTCACCATAGAATACCCTGTATAAGACAGCAAAACAGAGATCCAAGGCACAGGTGCCCCAACCGATTCCAATATGCGCTTAGTGGTAGTAAAAAATCTTCGGGTATTGTCCATTTAGCATAGAAGCCATGGCCTCCCATCGCAAACCTCATGACTATATATAAGAATGTAGGTACTATGTATACCACCACATAAGGTACCTATGATAAAATAAAAACATCTCCTGGATCCGCCCCTGTATATATGCAGTTGTTCATAGGTTGGATCAGTGGAATTTTTATGTATCGTGGTCTCTACATGATTTGTGGAAAAAAAATAACTCAGTGGTTCCAGTAAAGTAGTTCATCCTATACAATAGGTACCGCTACTTTTTCAATATACGCAGGGTGAATCTGAAAGTGAGCTTTTTTATTCAACAGAGTATATATCTTGCCAAGGCCTAAATGAGATGTTTGGCAAAAGATTGTTAATGCAATAAATGTAAGGTAACGGAGGTACAGGCATTTCGAGGTTTTGTACGTCAAATATCTGATTTTCACATTCTGAGATATTTTTAGAGAAAATGGATAGAGAGAAAAATCACCTCAAAACGAAAATTAATGGGTTGAAAATGTGAAAAGAGGTTTTTGATTGAAATTTTTCTGATGAAACAATGCAACTGAAGAGTATCTGATGCTGGACTGGATAACGGCTTCTTTCGTTTGTTCACAAAATGTAAACAAAATGTTTGATAGTTAGAGTCTTCCTCAAACCTTCAAATATACCTGTACCTCCGTTATCTCAAATATTTAATGTGAGCACTTTTTTGCCAACCAACTCATTTTGTTGGGATATACCGGATGACACAGGAGACCTGTAACAGCCTGTAGTTTTTTTATTTGAAGAGGTAAAAATTTTAAATTCACAAGAGTTACATTATTGATGACCGATGGCGCCTCCCTTGAACCCAATGTCAATTTTCTTCAACTACCTGTTTGAATAGAAGAATAGAATAGAATTTAATCAACCACGTTATGTATGAATACATTTGTAGCAAGTCGAAATGAGATACAGGTAATAGGGTGTATTGGAAGCGATATGAAATAAAATAAGCTCTATAAGAGTGTTAAACTATTCTAAAAAAATAGCAATTCATAGAGATATCGGAAGTAGACCCAACTTTTTTTTTCAAATGGCACCCTGTATATTTCTGTTGCCTCTTATTCGCCTTGAAATTCTTCTATTCACAATTTGATATTCGTTTATTAATTGGCTGTTAAATTGCATTTTAGTGAGATACATGAAGTTGGCTGTGACCCGAATACAATGACATTTGGATGCTTGATAGGCTTAAAAATCCAAAGATCATTACGATATCATCAGAACATTTTCCATACCCTAATCGGTCCCAGGAGATTGCCAATAATTTCATAGAGTTTAAAAAAATCATCCGAAAATAACTCACGATATTGAGAAGACTAAGGTAGATACTCAAGTTTATCATTTGGCTATTTGAAATGAATAGACCATGTTATACTGAGCAAAATGTCAAGAAGAATAACTGTCAAACTAGACATTTTGTGTAAAACGCATACTAAACGAAATGATACAGAAAATACACTAATGTAGACTTATGAACAGATGAATTAGGACGATACATCAATTATTACAACAATTTTAGTTCCATGTATCCAAATGGATAATCATATTATGGCTACATAGTTAAAATGAAAGACAAATAGTTGCTTCACAAGTAGCCAAATGAAAAAAATTGAGTTTCTATCTTATATATATATAGTTTTCTCAATATCGTGAGTTATCTCCGGATGATATTTTTAAGCTCCATGAAATTATTGGCAATCTTCTGGGACCGATTAGGGTATGAAAAATATTCTGATAATATCGTTTGAGTAATGATCTTTGGATTTCTGAGCCAATCAAGCATCGAAATGTCATTGTATTCGGGCCACAGCCAACTTTATGTATTTCAATAAAATGCAATTTAACACCCAATTAATGAACGAATATCAAATTGTAATACATAGTTGAATAGAGAATTTTGAAGCTACAGAAATATACAGGGTGCCGTTTGAAGAAGAAAAGTTGGGTCCATTTCCGATCAAACAGGTGGTTGAAGAATATCGTCATTGGGTTCAAGGGAAGCGCCATCATCGATCATATAACCCTTAAGAATTTGAAATTTGTATCTCTCCAAAGAAAAAAACTACAGGCTGTCACATGTCCCTGTGTCACCCGGTATAATCTGTTGAGAAAAAATCCTGAGTTTCAGATATACCCTGTATATGTGATATAAGTATATGAGCCTCACCATTTCTGCATGGTCTCACAAACTGGGATATCTTGATGAGACTACTGATAATAATTTCTCATTAGCTGAACTGATTTTGCTTTTTGCACTAAACCTATTTGTGAACGAACTTGTGAAGTGTTGTCGGTTGATCCTGTATAGATGAGGTTAACGAAAAAGCACTGAAATGGAGCATTCGAGTGATATTATAAATGGATGATCCAAAAGAACATGAATCTTTCATTACCGGCAATTAATCAAAGGAATCGTAAATTGTGTCAGGAGTAACGGGCAAAACGAAAACTTTTATTACTACAAATAAACAAGGAATCGTGAATGGGTATGCCAGTTGAGTTTCAGTAATGCAACTTTTATGGTTTCTAATTCTGGAACACTTTTGAAC